GGATTTATGAATAGTGTTCTGAGGTAATTTGATTTCCGTTGAGAATAATATGGTTGAAAATAACATGTATCATATAATTATTATAACGTATTCTACCATGTTTGCGACGTAGCGACGATTTTCATTGGTTTACCCTTTCACCCCTATGTAGATCTGGATGAGTCCATTATGGTGTATAGTGGTGAAAGGGTTAATAACTATGGATTGTTTGACGATAGACCATACCCGCGCGTGTATTTTTTTCCTGTAGACCAACGCTCTTCTAAAAACCTCCCCTGTACATATACCGGTACACAAACGAGTCGCGGAACTGGTTTTATTTTTTAGGCCGGGTACTCGCATTTAATTTTGTATGTACATGTATTTGAAGATTTGCTAGCGAACAAATAAAGAAATATATATTTACCTCTAGCTCTATCTAAAACTTGTCAAGCTCATGGTCAGAATAATCCACTGAACTTACCGCAAAGGTGACTTGAAATAATGTTTGTAAATCTGTGAAATGTTGATTTCATGTGTCGACGAGCGTTGACGAATTTGATTGATTGAAATAAGCATCTGACATAAAAGCTCCACAGCAGCGTTTATTATTTTTCGTCTGTCGACCGAATGACGACTGAAAATTAAAAAAAAAATATCCTTTCCATAACACTACTGCATTGCAGCATTCCTGATCGTATACTCCATTAATAATTTTATACGGTTCTATCATGTCTCCTCTTGCTCGTCTGAAGGCTTATGTTGGTAGCTGGAGTCTTTCCAGTGTCTGGCTGTAGCTGAGGTTACTCATGCCTGGGAGACACTTGGTTGCTCTTCTTTGTACACCCTCTATCATATCGATGTGTTTTTTAGGTTGGTGCCCACACAGGGCTCGCGTAGTCCAATTGTGAGCGTACTAGGCATTTGTATAATGGAACAAACGATCTTTGATCCATAAATTGGAATGTTCTCCTGAGGAGTGCAAACATGGAGTTCGCTTTTTTAACCCCGATATCTTTTTCCTAGGCGATTGTCTGTCAGTTTTTCCCGTAGAGATGATCGGTTGGTCCGGGGGTTTCCTGTCCTCGGGTTGTCTCCTTACTCAATCTCATGTGTTTGCACTTGTCGGGATGCATTTTAAGTAGCCATGTGTCGCTCCACTTACACATTGTATCTAGATCGTTCTGGAGGTCAGCACTATCTTCCCTGTTTTTATTATTTTAAAAATCTTGGTGTCATCTGCAAATAGATACATTTCTGGCTGGACCGAGCTTGGACGATCATTTACAAATATAACGAACAGCAAAGGTCTGAGAACAGTTCCTTGGGGGATTCCTGATGTGACATCGGTTCATTCGGAGTCCGCGCCGTTTACTGATACTTTCTGTTTCCGGCCTTTTAAAAATGTTGTTATCCAAGAAATTATTTGTTCTGAGAAGTTATACGAATGTAATTTACTTATCAGCCGATTATGCGGAACGGTGTCAAAGCCTTTTTATAGTCATCGATGTTCTGTCCTTTATCCAGAGCCTCTGTCCATTTATCCAACACTTCTAAAAGTTGAAAGGAAGTTGACCTTCCAGATATGAAGCCGTACTGCTTCTGTGAGAAGTAATTGTTGTGTTCCCTTATGACGGATTCCAAGACTTTGCATACGACCGATGTTAAAATAACAGGCCGGTAGTTTCCTGCTGCGCATTTGTCACCCTTCTTAAAGATGACACAACCCCGGGTTTTTTTCCAGTCATCAGTCAATTAGATTATATTCAATTCTTACAACCAATATTTTTGGTACAAATAGTAAATTATAAAACCTATACATTCTAGTATAATTAACGTTTATTATCGATTTTCTTTTTATCTATCATGATTTTTTTCATTTCAAAGTCTAGCTGCGTTTATGTACGAACAAACGTTGTTATATCATAGATGATAACCAATTTTATTATTTTAATTGATTTTGAGCTGACTCTGATTGGCTGAAACAACATCATGTGACCACCTGTAAAAGTAGTTATAAACCTGAGTGGTTTGCAGGTGTTCAAAAAAGTTGGTAGAACAAGTGTTATTAACTTGCTATAAATAGATTCTGGAACAGGTGTTCAAAGAAGTTGGAAGAAAAAGTGTTATTAACCTGCTATAAATAGATTCTGGAATTTTTGTAAAAAAGTTGGTAGAAAAAAGTGTTATTGACCTGCTATAAATCGATTCTGGGGGGAAAAAAATGGAAAACTATATTGTTTTACATTTTTTTCTTCAATTTTGAAAAAATCAATTAAAATAATAAAACTATTGTAGTATGGTGATTTCGGTTGATACAATATTGACCGAGGACGCAGTCCGAGGTCAATATTGCTAACCTAGGTTGATTAAACCATGTATCGACCTCATCACCATGCTATAATTGTATAAAATCGACTTAATAGAAAATGATAGTTATATTAAAGTTTCATTAGTTTTTCAATTAATTTAAACAATCAACTACGAGTAATTGCAGTAAACATGAAATTGAATACGCCCATTAATATAAAAAAAAGTAAATAAACAAACAAAAATGCTTCCCTGTTCTCCAATTCGATTGAGCATTTTGCTACTTTTAGTTGAAAAATGATGCTAAGCCAAACCTTAAAGATATGTTACAGTAAGGTAGATAACTCTATTTGCCTTGGCCGGTTTGCTAGTTTCTGAATGGCTGATCATTATAACTTGTATAGTTTTATGTTCGTGTTATCAATAGCTTGGTCTAGGTTAACACTGTTATGTCATCTCATTGCAACATTAATTATGGATGTACTCTTTTGAGGTTTAAATCACGTTCAAGTCTCGTTTTGATCTGGTGTACCGGGTTTTTGTAATATTTAACAAATCATGATCAAGTTTAATAGCAAACACGCATCTGAAAAATATGTAAAAAAAACTAGATGACTGTTGTTTGTAGAACTTTTTTTACAAGAATTTAAAAAAAAATGCCCAATTCGGCGGATATTTTGAAAATGTGTATTAATGTGTATTTCTTGAGCTTCACAAAAGGCCAGAATTTCACCTTTTTTGACACTAAATTGATCACTTGTCATTGTGTCGCCTTTTTTAATTGTAGCAGGTTCAAATTTACTGTACAACTTTATAATGTTCAATATGATAAAAATAACATGCAACATGCAACAAAGGGGAAAATTATACACTATTGGTATTTATTTTACATATTATTATTTAGTGTAACTGAAGCACTTTTGATTTTTGACCCCTAAAATGGTGAAAAATAACGCAAATAATAATGAAACAAAAAACGAAGTTCACGGCCCCTTATATACCGCTTTGGTTCGTATCGTACCTAGTTCGCAGGTTGTCTCAAAGCGGTTCACAAATTAATATCCGTGGTTATAGAGCCTTTGCAACCAGCCAACGTCTTTCTCAACTCCCTGGGGAGCATACAGGCGGTGCTGCCATTTCGGCGCTCACAGCTAGCAATCAACAATTCTAGCACTGCCCAACCACGTACTCATTTACAGCTGAGTAGACTGGAACAAGCGGAGTAAAGGATACAACACAGTGCCGTGACGTGACGTGACCCGAACCCGAAACCATTCGGTCACGAGCCCGGCGTCCTACCACTAGACTACCGTGCCTCCTAAATAATAGGTCTTAATTATAAATATATACGCACACAATAATCGCAACGGCAAATCGTCATAAGTGCACAATCAGACAAAATACATACGGGCTGAAGATGATATCAAAATCAGTGGCCTTACCACTATTGATAGATATTACTGTATGTCCGCGACGTCATCAGCAAATAGACCAGTAATTAGCTCCCACTACACACAGCTGCTGTCAGGCGACTGTGGGGGATACCGTGACTCTCAGACTCACAGACTAGGGAATGTAAACCTCTGCAACGATGAGATTAGGAAACGACGTCGAAAGTATAAACAAAATGTGTGTGACGTTGAATCAGCCATGATTTTTGTATATCTAACGTTGTGTTATACCACGGACTTAGTAGCTAATCTAGTCCCGGTGTTATACAAGGGGGATAGCTACAGCAATAGTCATTTGCACTGATGGATGTGTATTTATTTAAAGCAGATATGGTCATATCTAGTCATCTTATGATATTTAGATATGAGACAGCTTATCTTTGGTAATGAAATATAAGTATTTAAATATAAAAATAAACTTTATCTATTTTACAACAATTATGATACAAGTTATTTCAACTTATATAAATCATTCTTGTTGGCCTGGATGTTAGCGCGCGGGAGCCTTAATGTGGGAGGAAACCGGAATACCCGGAGAAAACCCACTTGGGCGGGCAGGTGACCCCATACCTTTAACGATATGATTATTAAGGATCCCTGCTCCACTGTTGGCAAAATAAATAGATAATCCTTAAGTAGTATTTCATACATAAGATAACCTCCCCTGAATTTTGTTTCAAATATAACTATAGCAGCACTGGGCCAGGGAAATTCTGATGATCGGTAGCTCGCTTGGTTAAAGCAACACTATTGTTATCAGAAATTAAGGGTTCGAATCCTGCCTGGCGACGTTAACTTTTTACTTTCTAAACATTTTTTTTTTCTCTTCCAGCTCTAATCTTCATTATTTTTTGTTCATAAAAGTTTCACAATGTATTGGTTTCTTTTCATAAATGATTTAATAAAGTTTGGTCACGCCGGTAAAAAGCTTCCATATCATAATGAGAGTTGTAATCAGTAGTACGGGGATCCCCTATACAAAGGTAGCACATCTACATGAAACGTTACAGAGAGCATGAACCACTATGATAGACAAAGGCTAATTCTAAAATAAAACTACTTTTGGAAGGGCGAAAAAATGTTCCGTCTTTACTAGGTTAAAGATAATCTCTTTAAACACAAAAATGTTCGACTCCTACAGAAATACATTATTTTGAAACATAAGCTTGTATCGTGAAAATTGTCGAATGACTGTTGCCTGCCTTAGTGCTCCCGAACAGTTGACTAGGCTGGTATAACCCGACAGTCAGAGGAAGCAGACCTCCTATAGTTGCGCGGTGTGTGTAGACGTTACTCGACCTCCTCTCTCCCATCAATACAAACTGCTGTTTGCCATTTTTTTCCTCGACTTTTCTAATCATGTTTTATTATGGCTTCTAGACTGACAGGGAATGTGAGCTCTATATGTATCGTGGGCAGGCCAACGTTAATGAAGGAAAGACATTGCCCTTCTAAATGAGAGCATAGCTTATAAACATGTGAGGTGTTTCTATGTAACGGATATACCTTATTCTGGCAGCATAAAAAAAAACATGTGTAGGGATACACATTGTTGTGATTCAGGGGACACGTAAATAAACGTACAAAATGACGGAACGTGCTGAAGGTAAGTTTATCTATAATTATAAACATAAATATTGATTAATTGTGATTGGAATAGTTTACCAATAAAACAAAAATTCCCCGTTATCTGTTTTCAACGAACATTTTTTAGGAATTGGAAATGTGCATTACTATAATTGTAAGGGACAGTAGCTCAAGGTATTATTGTTGGGAAATAAAATTTGACCACAAGCGATCTCTATGTTAAACTGAGCAAGAACTGATTAATCTTAATCGTCTGCTGGTGAAGCGGACTTAAAACCTATCAATCAATCAATCTAATTAATTAATTTTGATAAACAGTAGGATTGCATATTATATACATGCATGATACAAAAGTGATGTTTTCCAAACAGACGAAAAAATATCAAAATTAGTTTTTTTACATGCCACTATTTTCGTATAACATAATTAACTTTTTAGACAAAAGAGCTGACAGTCAAAGATTTACCGTCCGAACAAACAGGTGGGCTGAAACAGTGCGGGAAAGTCGAATACTTTTATACAGTTAACAGATAGTATTAAATTGTGGCTTAATTTATTACTTAACTTGACAGTATACAATCATATGCAGGTGAGAGAAGCGAATGAAAGACGTGCTGTATTCTTTAATGTCAATGTTCGCTTATCCTTAACCCTTTCACCACTGTGGACCATAATGGACTCATTCAGAGCAATGCATGGTAGTGTCTACTACAGTTACATGGGGGTGAAAGGGTTAATGGCCACAGTTATCTCTGTTTTTTAGTACTGGCATGCTTCATAATATACACACTTTACAAATCGTTTCATTTTCATTTAACTAGTACACCTCNCCCCCCCTTCTGTTTCAATATAAGATTAGACAGTTTAGAGTTCCAGCGTATCGGCCCCTAGCCGCACCGATAAGCCTTACAAGGACAAAAACACGTATGATACAGTATACTTATGTGTGGCATACTGTAACTATTACCGAAATTTAACTCATTCACCCCTGAAATTACAGAATGAACTATTCCAACCTTTGAATTGGAAGAGTCCAAATGAGTCTTCAGGGGTCAATGAGTTAAAGGTACAATCACTTATGTGGCTATTACGTTCATCTTCAAAAGACATTCTTCTGCTGGAGATATAGTCAAATAAGGTTTAATAAGAATAACAAATCACTGATAAGATGATTTAATGAGAGTTTACTAATTGGAAAAAAAACGTGTTTTCTAAATGTATTAGTATGGACCTGTTGATCACCACCTAATAATCTCAAACCACATATACATCAATTCATCAACTTGAATTTTGTCATGTATAAGTGGAATGAAAGCTGCACAGAATCAAGGCAGTGTACCATAGGTAGAAAAGTTAACGAGTGAAAAGGCTACCAAAGTATAAACAAAATTTTTATTCGAACTCAAAATCAATAAAAACGAAGGAAAAATATTAACAAAGAAAACATTTTCAAGAAGAACCTTATAATATTCATTGACATCATCCATGTAGGTCAATTACAATTAATGTCAGGTCCTCAAAGTTAGAGCCGATTCAGTCACAAGGAAACAACAAGGCATACTTATAACCATAATTAATAAATAGGTCTTCATATCACTAAGAAAATAGAGTAATCCCAAATGAGATCATCATATATGGCGACCATAAAACTCGCCCATAACCTTCTGAAAGATTCAGAGGCAGATTTACCTTACACAAGGGGATATGTTCAGGTCAATGTATATCAGGAACTCTCGGATGAACTTACTTTCGTACGTTAATATATTAAAGGGAATATTTAGTCAAATAACACCCTCAAAATCGAGTAGAAACTGAAAATGTATATCCTCTGATGACCGTTTACATAGCTGATGATGCCATGACCCCAAGCCAAAGATGTACACCGTTTATATATTATCTTTGGAACACCCTTATGCATTAATGTATTTATTTTTGTGGTGAGTGCGTCGTACGTTTACCAATATTACATCGTTGTTAGTTTAAAATTGTTTTCTATCGATAATATCGCTTACTAATTTTGAAACAGTTGCAGTTCAACTTATTAGAGAAAAATTGTATTAAAATAAGTGAAAATTGAAATCACTTTTATACAGATATTGATACATAAACCAGCAACGCACTGGGTAGGCCTTGTAAACATGTATCTACACGATTTGTATTAATTAACCTATGTTTATATTACCGGTCAATTCCGGACACGAATTATCAATAAGCAATGATATTGTTGTTAATAAGATTATTTTTCCCCCGGATATGGCAATGTACGATAATTGGATAGAGCGACACAGATCAACTGACCGAAGTGTTTGACAAACACGGACTGTCATTCCATCATTACTCGCCATGGCGTGTCCCTGGAGGTACACTCATTTTCATAGATTTTTATTGTAGCTCGACTGCATTGGTTTTCTCATTATCAGGACTTAATATGAAGCCAATTTCTCCTCCAGCGAAACGTGTAGCAGCGCAAACGAACGTTCAGATCGACGTAATATACAACATGATGATACGACAGACAGTAAATTGCATGTATTTTCGGTGAGCGATGACAATGCTTGTATAAATATGCAATGACATATATGAGGCATTACTGTTTAAGTTACGACATTGCATGGCACCAGGGGCACACGCAATTTACTGTCAATATTACATAGCAAATTGAAAGACACAAATTTACCATTTGTCTGCCAGGAGATGGCTTGTTCACCAAAGAGGTCCCCGGGGCCTGACTGGGACCAATCGGTCGACCTTGATATTATTACGTCATTCAGATATGGCATGTGAATATTCATAGATAGTCAAGGATATCGGCTAATAGGACTGAAGGCAACATCAACAGACAAAAAACAAATTATATATAAATCGTCTGCCAAATAAAATCGATGAAGCCACCAATATATGTATTATCTAACATAGATATCATAATCGTAAACTTTCAATTATAAACTACAAATATAACTTGTTGAACATGAATATAAAATTATTGAATATTGCAACGTTTCATACGCCATTATTAGGGAGTAATAAGAATGCTGATTCGTATGGCATATACTGAGAAATATTTGACGGGTGTCAACAGAAAGCAGAAGACGCCCATCCTTCCGAATTTAGTTTGGTGTGGTTTTATAGGGCTTAACGTCTTATTAGCAACGAAGGTCATTGACGGACGTGCATCCATGTGTTTAATGAATGCGTGCGTTAGTTTATGTGTGCCCGAGGCAGGTTAAGCGGTGTATTTGCCTCCTTGCGATAGCGCAGTACTGATGCTGACTATATGGTGCTACCTCACTGAAATACCATACAGAGGGCACCCAGCACAGCATTCCGCCAGGTAACAGTATACTGACAACGGGTGAACCAGCTGTTGCCATTTCACTTAAAGGCTGAACGTTAAAAAGGGAATAACAACTTCCATTTTCAAAGACTTTGGTATGTTCCGTCATGGGGACAGAACCTAATGGTTTCCTCACCTGGGCGAACGTTCAACACTAAAGCCAATATAGTGAGGTATTGCCAATGAAGGCGCTAGGAAATAAAAGGTAGTTAGAAGTAGAGATCCGTGTGAGGCAATGGGTGCAGCAGATTTATTACAGTTGGTTTGGTTCCCGGGTAGAGAGTACAAAACCATTCCGGAAAACCTGGTTGTCTTCTCCTTGTAGTCATTCGAGGGTCATATTTTGTTCTATAATGGTGTAATCAGGTATTGGTATTTTAAATTATATGTTCTTGCACTGAACTATCGTTAACCAGTCATGCGTATCACGGAATATCACAATACTGCCAAATGTATTATTGGATATCATAAAACAGTCACGTGTTCCATGAAATATCACAAAACCGTAACGTGTTCAATGCAATATTACAAAACTTACACGTGTATCATTAAATATCCCAACAATTTCTAATATTTTAGTACAACAAACTCCCGCGTGCACAGTGAATATGAAACCTCTCACACATACGACGAAATATCACAAACCTCTCATGTTTACCATTAAACAAACCTCTCATGTTTACCATTAAATATCACAAACCTCTCATGTTTTACATTAAATATCACAAACCTCTCATGTTTACCATTACACAAACCTCTCTTGTTTACCATTAAATATCACAAACCTCTCATGTTTACCATTAAATATCACAAACCTCTCACGTTTACCATTAAGTATAACAAACCTCTCATGTTTACCATTAAATATCACAAACCTCTCACGTTTACTATTAAATATCACAAACCTCTCATGTTTACCATTACACAACCCTCTCTTGTTTACCATTAAATATCACAACCCTCTCATATTTTCCATTAAATATCACAAACCTCTCATGTTAACCATTACATATCACAAACCTCTCATGTTTACCATTACACAACCCTCTCTTGTTTACCATTAAATATCACAACCCTCTCATATTTTCCATTAAATATCACAAACCTCTCATGTTAACCATTAAATATCACAAACCTCTCACGTTTACCATTAAATATCACAAACCTCCCATGTTTACCATTAAATATCACAAACCTCTCATGTTTACCATTAAATATCACAAACCTCTCATGTTTACCATTAAGTATAACAAACCTCTCATGTTTACCATTAAATATCACAAACCTCTCATGTTTACCATTGAATGTCACAAACCTCTCATGTTTACCATTGAATATCACAAACCTCTCATGTTTACCATTAAATATCACAAACCTCTCATGTTTACCATTAAGTATAACAAACCTCTCATGTTTACCATTAAATATCACAAACCTCTCATGTTTACCATTGAATGTCACAAACCTCTCATGTTTACCATTGAATATCACAAACCTCTCATGTTTACCATTAAATATCACAAACCTCTCATGTTTACCATTAAATATCACAAGCGTTCCACATATGCTGAGAAATATTACAAATCTTTCCAACGTATATTATAAAACATCACCAATTTGGAATATCACAAACATCTCACAATTTTCATTAAACACAATACAAACCTGTTGAATATACCATGAAG